AATCAATGAAAAAATTAATATCCTGGTATATGCAACCACGCCCAGAAAACATTCATCCAAACATCGCTACAGTCAGAGAATAGCTGATGTGATCATTCCCTTCGTCAAAAGCATAGCTCCCAAGTTATCTGATTCAGTCCTTGCACAATTAGGACTGTCTTCAGCTATAGGAGCCATTACTGGAGATACTCAAAAAGCGATTGTTGTTATGATTCCAAGAATCATGCACGATATAATGATTAAGTGAATTTTGTTATGATTCCAAGAATCATGCACGATATAATGATTATGTTACATACATACATCATACATACATACATACATACATACATACATACATACATACATACATACATACATACATACATACATACATACATACATACATACATACATACATACATACATACATACATACATACATACATACATTCATGCATGCATACATACATACATACATACATACATACATACATACATACATACATACATACATACATACATACATACATACATACATACATACATACATACATACATACATACATACATACATACATACGAAATATATTTAATTTGTTTCTACGTCGGCACAATTGCGCCATTTCCCGGGCAATGTAATACTTACATTGACCAAATACACACTTCTTTCACGATACTGTGCGTGTCAAGCAGTAATGACTTTGATGTCGTTATATAATTCTCGCTGCTATTATTGAATATAGCATTCTCGTAGAAAGGAAATTATAAAGCTCAGGCTTTACAGGCACACTGCTGACTTGATTTGTTGAACACTAATTTCAAATAGACAACATACGTGTCAATGTCAATTACAGTGGTATTAAAGCAATACCAGATTAGCCTCTATGGTGCAAAACAACATTCTAAACGGCTACGAGTTTGTTTCAGGCCTATCTAGCTCTCAATGAATTATGCGTATATTGTAGATAATCGACACCAACTGTATCTCATCAGATTTAACTTGCATTTTGAGTGCAACCAAACCTGATCTTGGCCGTCTCCTTAATTAATGTAAGAAAGATTGTCAGCGAAGGTGATTCGAACCTGAAACGTATTGATGGCGCCTTTACCGATTAGTACATCGGGAATTCATTCCAAAAGATAGAAAACAACTCATACTTAACTTACCGGAGCTGGCGAAAACTTGTGTGATGACGAAAATGAACTTTTAATCGTTAATTGGCGAGTTCACCAACAATAATAAAGTTCGTTTTCATATCAGCTGTGATTCAATTTTTCTGCTAGAGATTTTAATACGAAACAATCTTTGATCCTTATCTGGGAATTAAGGCATGCGGAATCAGAGTCAACTGAAAAATCTAGCGTCCAAGCTTTAGTGGCCAGGCAATATTATGGGTAATGCCGACTCAGCCATTATCAATAATTGTACTAAATTCTAGCCAAAAGTGACGCTTTGCACAAAATTCCTCACAAAAAACTCCAGCAAAGTCTAGCCTTGACTTAATTCGCATTATTAGATTTAGCACTGAGATTTTATTCTTCTAGCGAAAGGTTGCCTGTTACAAATAATCACCACATAGCTGTCAACATATAATCAAGATGATAAGTTAAACCTTTTCTCCCTCTTTCGATATCTTTCTTTCAAGTACTTCATGTATAGTCTATTCGTAAATATGTATGTATGTATGTATGTATGTATGTATGTATGTATGTATGTATGTATGTATGTATGTATGTATGTATGTATGTATGTATGTATGTATGTATGTATGTATGTATGTATGTATGTATGTATGTATGTATGTATGTATGTATGTATGTATGTATGTATGTATGTATGTATGTATGTAAATAGATAGATAGATAGATAGATAGATAGATAGATAGATAGATAGATAGATAGTTCGATAGATAGATAGATAGATAGATAGATAGATAGATAGATAGATAGATAGATAGATAGATAGATAGATAGATAGATAGATAGATAGATGGATATTGTATGCTCATTTATTTCTCCTTTAACTTTACATCGTGAGAATTTATCAGTATTTTCCTATATTGCACGCCCCGTGCAGCATTCATACTATATGCACGTGAAAAAAAGAAACTATTTTCTAACGTAAACAATTTTTTTATGAATAAACAAAAGCAGATATTTCATAGACTGCCACATAACAGCTAATGTTTCATAGACTGATACATACAAACTGCTTGACACATTCTGCGTTAACTTTTTTGATATAATGTTTCAGAATTAGGATACCAATAGACGCCATACAGGGTCATCACAATAGCACGCAAGTAATAAGACATAAAATGCCTTCTTTAGCTGGTAATAAAAAAATGGCAAAAATATACTTACAATTTTACAGCCTGAATTTCCTCAAAATGTATTTTCTTAGTTCTACAAATCCGAATTAGATAAGCCATATCACGGGTTCTCATGGTTGATCACCGTTTGAAATTGTACTGTAATTTTGATTATATTACAAGTGCAATTATATCCTTCTTACTGCACTCAAAATGAAATAAACATTAAATTTCACAGCATCTTTTCGATAATTGCAATTGAAAGGCTTCATAATTTTCCCACATTATGATCTGAATCATTCAACGACAGAATAGAAACACGCATGCCGATGTCAACACACTTCAATACCATTAAATTGGCAGATGCTGTTGGAATCCGATGTAAATTACTTCATGTAGATAAATCCAGACTATAATCACAAAATTGCATTGAATCGACAAAAATACCAAAACGTATTCATTCCAGATGAAATGGAAAAGTTGTTGCAATGCGTATTCATTAACAATATTACTCCAAATTTCACTTTTAAGTAGACCAAAGGCCATTTTCTTTCGAAACTTACGGTTAACGCTAGCGCGCGACCAACTTCAAATTTTTCTGGGCGGAGTTATTTACGCTAGTTGTGTAATGATTCAGCTAAGCTTGGATATTTAGTTTGTAAAACGGCATACAAAATGGCATATAATTAAAAGGTTATTACATTTGTATGGGAAAATATGAACTCGTTTTGTCGGATGAATCGTGCAGTATAACCATCCGAAAAACTCGTTCATATTTTCTCATACAAATGAATTTACCTACACAAATTTGCCTGATGAACTTAGTTACGTGTTTTTACATCAAATTTCCAAGAGTATTTTTTCTTGTCATTGTTAACATTTGAAATGTAGCTTCACCCCTCCATTAACCGTGAAGACTATAAAAGAACGTATCAGTGTTTATTATTATAAACGTGGTTTACCTCCAAGTGCAGTCTTAGCCATCGTATCTCCTTTGATGACCCATCTATCAATTCTTTCTCTGAGTGTAGGACAAAGCAAATTCAAGTCATGGATTATATCTATGTCAGCACTTTATGCCTTATAAGTACCATGAAGGTAGCAACCTGCAGGATCGTCGATGTTTATATTGCTTCTCATTGCCTTAGATGTAGTTAGTCCCAGTCGTGTAACCAGCCCTGTACACGGCACTCAATACTTTTATAAAAGTCAAGGAGGGAGTACCATATTCTTTTTACAGGGGTGTTTGCTTCTAACTGTACCTAACTCAGCAATTGTTTTGAAAACCCGCGTTTGCGTTTACCAGTGAACCTTCGCCACCTTCACACAAGTACAAACTTCTTTGCTCTACCCGCGTTATATTTTCAGTATAATTCTTCATGCAGCAAAGCAGGCGATATATAATGGCAACCGTCACTGATGCATAGGCTATTATCGAAACTTCTTCTCAGTTACAGAGATGTCACTGAACACGTCAGAGATATGTTTGCATTTATATAGCATGATCTGACATACGGCTTTGAATAACCGTTTGCGCCGCTAATCAAACACGAGAGAAACGGCGGAACAAGTGAAAAAAGTAATGGAAACCGTCGCTGTTCTGGGATTCCAATTGCCAGGACAATCCAGTCCTTTGAATGATTGTGCGTCCAGAGAACCCTGTGGTTCAAGATGAGGCTGCACGCCCAAAATGGATCCGAGGTAACCGCAACACCAAATGCACCTAACGGACATCACAATCAAATAAATTTAACAATTTAGCAAAGATCGAGGAGGATGGTGTAAAATTTCCCACCCATTTTCCACGCGACTGAAGAGATTACGTAACGGAACCATACTATAAGACACGTATCTATAATACAGCATCTGATATTTGAGTTAAGTGAGTATTTTGTGAGAAGTTTAAACAGTATTCGTCACCAGGCTAAGAGTGGAAAATATTTCACAATAATATTGAAAATGATAAATGATACAAGTCGGAACAAGTCATTGTGGAACAAACTGCACACCGTAATAGTACTAGAGTCGTTGCACGTTTACCATAGTTAGCTAGCAATAACTCGTTCGTGTTTCTTGATTAAAACCAGATCAATTGCGGCCACTCAGGGGCCATGTTTTGGTAATCTATACTGTGCCGTGATCCATAATTTTATTATGTAATTAGATGAAGTCGTATATCTTCTAGTTTGGAGAGTGAAGGGCATCAATGTGTGCCGAACTATTTGATTTACTTTCAGATTTTTGAAAGTTGTATTTCCACTGGTTAACTACAAAGTCATCAGAACATGACCTCTAATCGGTCTGTCTAGGAGTATCGGACTCGCCATCCAATAATGACTGGCTCGATACCAGCTCAGGCCAACAATTAGCTCCCTTCTCCTCGAGAAATAGTTCCAATGTGTAAAAAACTCAACACACAAAAACCTCAATCATATATTTGTATCGCATTTAGCCTTTGTAGTTTGTGTGTGTGATTTGGATTTTTAACGTAGCCTTAACAATTTTTCATTCATATCGCTACGATGTCTGCAGTGTGGCAGTTTATAGTGATGTCTAGCAATTCGGCATTATGCTATAGACATGTTACATCATGTCTCATCCAGTCACATTATCCTAACACCAGGCCGACCATTGCTAACGCTAATCTCTTAATGCTGATAGCCAAACGAGGTAACTATTAGTACCAATTTTATAGTTTTTTAGTATGACTCGGTTGGGTATCGAACCTCAGCCTACCGCATCCGAGACAGACGCTCTAACCACTAGGCCACCGAAGCGATCAGGCTTTGTAGAGACTAAAGACTAAACACCAAAGTTATTAGAAACGTTCTCAACCTAATTGAAAAAAGTATTTCATCTGGTTGGTTTTTGCGAACAGATGAGTCACTAAGATCACTAACAGGTACAAAATATTTGGTAGATATGCGAACAGAATTTGAATAATGAAAGGTGAAAAGTGTATTCTTTACTATACACCATATACATTGCTTGAAATACAATTTCTTGCTTACATGCCATTACGACATTTTTGTCGCAGTTGTGATGCTAAACTGATTGTACAGAGATGGAGCAGAACATGACCTGCCTGGCCCCAATATCAAAGGTGAAGAATTCTGTATATTGAGCATTCATTTGCAACATGAACGTATATTTTTCCACATGTAGTCTAGAATTTTATACAACTTTCCGTCGATACCTTTGTTGGTCAAGCAAGTCAACAATTCTACATGAATAGTTATGTAAAAAGGCTACTATTAAGCCTACCTCTTTTTTAACTCAGATATTTGTAAACCATTGTTTGAGAAGACATTGCAGAATCCAGATTAAGTTTTCTTCAATTTGGTTTATGATTCTTACCATTAAAAGAAGCGTTAGTTTAAAATACTGATAAAAGGTTTATTCCGGATATCAATGAGAGAGATCATTGAGAGAGATATTACTCAGTAATGGGAGGATAATTGTCCAAGGAAATGCCCAGTGTAAAAAACGTTCGTCAAATAATTTGATTAAATAAGAAAATATGTTCGGAGTCGTGTTTTACTATCATTTCGGCTGTTCGTTCCATCTGGTTCACCAGCCCGTCCAGATTTAAGTGCTGGAATACTTTTGAGAACTTAAAAAATATCATCTTAATTCATACAATGAAAACTTAATTTTAAGTCATTACGATACAATAGTGATCTAAAGTACTTATACAATTGATGTCACGAGCAAGTACTGTTACTGTTGGCGTTGCGATCATGTGCTAGATTACGCAGCTGCAAAGATATGAAATCTGATCTTTAATATATTATTTTATTCTTATAAGTCTACTTTATAATCCGTCAGATTTTTTAATGCAACTGCTCAATCGAAATTTATGGGGAGTATATGGGTATTGTTTGCGATTTTTAAGAAATATCATTGTTTATAATGCCATGAAGGTATTTTTTTCTTATCTTTGATACACTGCAACAATATATACACTAGGTTGTGATATACGAATCTGTAGGCTGTATCATTTATATATAAATATAAATATTTATATATAAATGACACATTGAATAATTTGCTTCATCGATCCTCACGTGAAAAAGAATTAATCAAATAATATCGAAATTCAAAAAGCTCACGTTGGAATGAATAATAAATTCTTTATTCACTTTTTTGATTCTATCTTTAACTGTGAAAATATTTTGACTAGTATACCATTCATACGATACTTTTTTAAGGCCAGCAAGTGAAATAGTGAACCCATTTATGATAATGAAGTGTACAGATGCACTCCTAGAACCAATTTCGAAATCTGAGCAATATTTATATAGACTGTTTAAAGCAATCATATAGTCAACACTTGCGGTATATACTAAATTTACATTTCGATCTTGGTGCATTCTGAAATTGAGTTTATGTATAGAGTACGTTTTACAAATATTAGTTACATGTCAGTCAGTGAGATGCCGAATGCCTTAATGACTGGATATTTTGATTTTCATTCCATATTAAATTTACGTGATTCATAGAAACCATTTTCTCCTAGCATAGCATTAGGAACATCATTTGCTAACACAATTCATTAAGATTACCAGTTCTTCAGTTGAGGTCCCTAGTCAAAAAGAGAAAAACTAGTTTTGACAGAACCGTTTCTTCCAATAATTCGAACCCATTATATCTACTGACTATCGAAGCATATGTTGATAAAGATGCAAAATAAGGTATCAAATCTTTACCTGAATGGTCTCCTTTAAAGTGGAGATAGACATAAGTACCTAAATGGCCTCCTTTTAAATGGAAAAAGATGTAAGTACCTAAATGGTCTCCTTTCAAGTGAAGACATGCGTAAGTACCTAAATTGTCCTCTTCCAAGTGGAGGCAGACGTAAGTACCTAAATTGTCCTCTTTCAAGTGGAGACAGACATAAGTACCTAAATTGTCCTCTTTCCAGTGGAGACAGACGTAAGTACCTAAATTGTCCTCTTTCAAGTGGAGACAGACGTAAGTACCTAAGTGGCCTCTTTTCAAGTGGAGGCAGACATATTTACCTAAATGGCCTCCTTTCAAGTGGAAACATACGTAAGTACCTAACTGGCCTCCTTTCAAGTGGAGACAGATGTAAGTACCTAACTGGTCTCCTTTCAAGTAAAAACAGACGTAAATATCTAAATGGTCTCCTTTAAAGTGAAGACAACCATAAGTACCTAAATGGTCTTCTTTCAAGTGGAGACAGACGTAAGTAAATTCCTTTCACAACATTTTTTTCTACTAATTTTGACTTCACAGTCACGCCTTCTGTGTATATGCCATGCGTGAATGTTTCCTTAGTAATTTTGAATTCACAGTCACGCCTTCTGAGTATATGCCATGCGTGACTGTTCTTACTAATTTGGACTTCAGAATCACGCCTTCTGAGTATATGCCATGCGTGATTGTTTTCTTACTAATTTTGAATTCACAGTCACGCCTTCTTAGTATATGCCAAGCGTGACTGTTTTCTTACTAATATTACTAAATTGTTGAATTGACTTTCTGACTTGCCCGAAGTTTCAAAAATGTCAAATCGTCTGATCAATGATTTAATGTGCGATTCAGATTCATATTTAAACAAGCTTACAATGTTTCAAAGTTACACACGTATTGTTTTTTTTTACATTGACCTAATTTCTATTTATGTACCTTTGAGGCGTTTCATGTTTACTGTTTCTAGCCAATAGCTTAGTATCGTTGATGTCCGTGGGCGTTCCGTTGTCTTCGCGTGGTTTGTTGTAAACATTATGTGCATAAATAAATGCTTGCTCAGATCGTGAATATATTTTATTGTATTTTTCAGCCAGACTTTTGTTGGCTTTTCTGATGGCGTTCACGGGCTTATGTATTATGGAGGACGATTTTCATTTCTAGCATTAACATGAATTGTACCAACACCTTTACATCTGCTTCACGTTTCTGGGTGTCATTTTCAGTGAGGGTGTGGGGATCTTAACTTCTGGATGTCATTTTCAGTGAGGGTGTGGGGATCTTAACTTCTGGGTGTCATTTTCAGTGAGTGTGTGGGGATCTTGAATTCTGGGTGTCATTTTCAGTGAGTGTGTGGGGATCTTAGCACATTTCTTTCTGTATTTTCGTAATGTTCTGGCATTCAAATGGTCGTATTTTAAAGTTCAAAACTTTTAAATTATTAATCATGATTTGGTATCACTTCCAATCCTATTTACATAACCTAACTATATATGATCAGTGTTTATTTCAAAGACGTCAAGCGCGTATGTTTTGATTTTCTTTTCCCAGATTTCGTGGTTCATTCGGTAGAATATTAAGTTTAAGGTTCTAAAGGACAAAAGTCTTTTCCAAGGGTATACAAATTGTGTAGCAATGTCTCATAATCTTCCAGCAAGTGCTTATAATTTTTCCGAATTAGACAAATTGAGTTGTCGAATTTGCCGTTCAAAATCGAATAGTTACGTTTGAGGGATTTGAGTTCTTGCTGTACACCAATTAAAACAAGTCACATCTTCCTCGCCATGCTCAACAACATTCCGTGATCCCAACCAGCATCTAATGACAAAGCACCATTAACATAACCTGGCAAACGTGCTTGAGAATTAGTTTTGTATATTCTTTATTTTCTGAGGATTGAGTCTATTGACTGGGTTTAACCCTATACCCGCCATTATGAGAAGAAGATAGAGGGTCAAAAAAATCATTATATTTGAGATGTAAAAGGATATACCTTATAAAAGATGAGTCAGAAAATACAGAATATTTAGCACACAATCAAAATTTTTTTAAAATGATCACACATATATGATTCAAATTATATTTCAGATTCTTTTTAAACATTTATTGCATATGATAAACTTACTGTATGCCACGGAAATATGAACAAAATTGTACTCGATTTCTTTTCCGCTTCCAGCCTTACCTGAGGGTCGTATATTTTCAACTTGGCCATATCAAAATACGGATTTTCGATTTGTGCAATGCTGCACGACCAAAGTCTCTGCACAAGGTTCTCTGGTTGTCAATTACAGTCAGGGTACGTATAGAGTCAGCTGTCATTGCTTTATCACATTACATATCACGAAGCTGATTATTGTACAGGATCAATCTTCAGAAAGAGAAGTATGTGAAATTCTAAATTGACATTCTTGTTCGCTATATGTCTTATGTAATATAATTGTTTTATACAGTGGATATTTAAGAATTTATTAAACACTACAGATACTCACGCATATATCATATTAATTCATGCAATCATATCAAGTTCTCCATTTTCATAACTGGACAAACAAAATGTATTAAACTATACCTTGCCTAAATCGAATGACTATTAATGTTCGAGTTCTTATAATTCTGTGAATTTATACTTATTGGACGCAGATTCGTGCAGGAATGTAGTTATTATAATAGATTCGTACAGAAGATGAAATGATTTAATGACTAAGCCAGTTCATATGAACGCATGTACAGCGCATACTACTGTATGAGAATATAATACCGTTTCTCACGTGCTATACGGTTCAGTCATAATATTTTAAATTTTGCTTTTTCTGATAAGGGAGTCGTAATACGCAATTATAGATTGCGTTGTTGGCTCGAAGGCTTGGTTTTCTCGTAGTGAGGTAATCATGGAATAAGTAGTCCCTGGATGCACCCTTCGGCAGACGGTGAGAAATCTGACATGTGTGGTGGCTCCTTGACCATTTGACAAGAGCCGTGGAACAGAAAATACGTCTTGATCGTCGACATGACTTATAGTTCCATTTTTGAATCCATATTAAATATAACTATACGAGTGAAC